TTATACTGATTTACCGCAGTCTATTCTTAAAATTTGGTCATAAAATACATTCCATAAAATAGGCCCCAGGACTGAGCCTTGTGGTACCCCTGATGTGATCTGCACTAGTTGCCCGTCTTCTTTCTTTATGTATCTGTTTTTAAAATTGTTCTTATTAAGTAACGAGAGATTCCGTTTCTTGTTAGAGCTCGCAGAATTTCCCTCCATGGTGTTGAGTTGAAAGCGTTTTCTATGTCAACTGTTACCATCACACAATAAGCCTCCTGTTTTCGTGCCATTTCTCTCATTTCTTTTACTTCTTTCAGTGCTGTTATTGCTGACTTTCCCTTTCTATAGCCATGTTGATTGTCCGATAATCTTGTCATCATCGTAACGGAACCATAAACAATGGCGATTTGATGTGCGCCAACTGATATGCGCGGAGTGAGTTACCCTTCAGTGTGTTCAGTGATCCTACTGTCAGATTTACTAGTTTATAAGACAAAAGCAATGTAAATTAACTAGTTTTTTTATCATTAGTAATATTAGCATAACCTTATTACTAAAAAAAGCGAATTGCCTAAATTTTATTTTTGTTTTGGACTGTAAAAATATTAGAAATTTGGGTCTGGTTACAATTTGGTACGCTTGGCAACCGTGACCATACCTAACACGAAAATAAATCTTAGGTTTAATATCAAATTTTTCTGTTATTTATGAGTAACACAATTTTCTATTTCATTTATACACTTAGTACTATTTTCTAGTTTATTCATTAATTCTTTTGAAATTAATTTTAATTCAAAATCACTTATTTCATACATTTTAAATTGACATGTGTGCCGATAATTTTGACAAAATGTTTTATTAAGTAACGATATGCATTTTTTGAGGGATTTTTTTAGTTTATCGTGGTTACTAAAAAACTGAAAAGAAAATCTGTGTAATTATGTGTGGGTAATAATTTGAATTTTTTTATTAATAATATTGGTATTATTTCAGAAGATCCTCTGCAGTTTGTTTCAACACTTGCACTCTACCAATTTTATAGAAAACATACAAAGATTTTACGTATAATTGAGTACATCTTTATAATGATGATGGAATCGACCACCCTTTGGGTTTTATTCGTTATAATTGTTACCAAAAATATCAGTTACATCGAAAGATTTTTGCTCTTTCAAATGATCCAACAAAATGTAAGTAACAATCAAATCGTATATGGATTGAAATTAATATAAAGAATCTACGAGGTCTGATCAAAAAATAACCATTATTTTTTTTTCAAAAAGTAAATTCATCAATAACTATCTTGTCCCCTTCAAAGTAATCCCCCTCAGATATAATACACTTATGCCAGCGTTTTTTCCAATCCTCGAAACACTTCTGAAACGCGCTTTTTGGTATCGCCAACAGCTCCTGTTTCGATTTTTCTTTTATCTCCTCAATCGTAGCAAAACGCTTTCCTTTCATCGGTGTCTTCAGTTTTGGGAAGAGGAAAAAGTCAGCGGAGGCCAAGTCCGGTGAATACGGTGGTTGAGGCATGATAACGGTTTTGTTTTTGGCCAAAAACTCACGCACAAGCATCAATGTGTGAGCTGGTGCGTTATCCTGATGCAAAATCCATGATTGTTTTTTCCACAATTCTGTGCGTTTCTGACGAATTGCTTCGCGCAAACGGCGCATAACTTCAAGGTAGTATTCTTTATTGACCGTACGACCTTGTGGCAAGAATTCATGATGCACCACGCCATTGCAGTCGAAGATAACAGTGAGCAAAACCTTCACATTTGACCGAACTTGACGTGCTTTTTTCGGTCTTGGCTCTTCTGGACGCTTCCATTGGGATGATTGGGCTTTGGTTTCAATGTCATAGCCATACACCCATGATTCGTCACCAGTTACGATCTTTTTGAAAAAATCTGGATCGTCGTTGACGATGTTCAACAGCTCCTGAGCGATGTCCATGCGACGTTGTTTTTGCTCAAAATTTAGTAATTTTTAAACAATCTTCGCTGCCGCATGTTTCATGCCTAAAATATCCGTAAAAATTGCTTGGCATGAGCCAAACGATATGCCAACATCATCAGCAACCTCTCTGATAGTGATTCGACGATTATCCAAAATCATTTTCTTCACTGCTTCAATGTTTTCATCGGTTGTTGACGTGCTCGGGCGACCAGGGGGTCAATTCTCGACTTGTAGGAACCTTTTCCTATACGAATTTGTGACACTTTCCTATATGTAGGAAAATGTCATAAATTTTCGATGTATATAAAAATGTCAAAAATTCCTATAGGAAAATATTCCTACGAGTCGAGAATCGACCCCCAGGACGAGCATCGTCATTGACATCTTCTCGGCCTTCCTTAAACCGGTTATACCACAATTGAACTTGTGTTCTGCTCATAGTAGACTCGCAAAACGCCACAGTCAACATTTCAAATGTCCTTGCGCATTTAATTTAATTTTTTACACAAAACTTAATACAGTTTCTTTGATCCATTTTTTTCGAATAGTAAAAAATCGAAGAGCACACCAAAACACGACTAACCTTTTTATCTGTCAAAAACAAACTGACAATCCAAAATGGCTGATATTGCCAACATATATAACAGATATGTGTACCAACATAACAGAAAAAAAAAATGCGAAAATCGAACATACGTAACTTACGAAATTTGAAAATAACGGTTATTTTTTGATCAGACATATGACCCATTTACAAAAAAATATAGAGTGTGATCCACAAAAAATGTTTTTAAAATAGGCCTTGAAAACATTGACGCATATTGAACCTAAGCGTCAATTTCAGGGGCGTCTTGAAAGGCAACTGAGTTAAAATCTGTAATACCATTGGTTTCAATAGGTTTATTATTTTTTTTCATATTTAGAAAATTAACATTCAACTTCAATGTATTTTATTATCACATTTTTGATATACCATATCTGCTTTTTATAACAAATTACTGCCAAGTCCAATCTAGTACCTACTTACCTGTTTTGGAAACCATTTGGAGTTGTCAATCAGCAGTGATTTCATCATGAATAACTTTACTTATTCTGAGTTGACTGACATGCACTTTATTTATGGAATAGCAAATGGAAATGCGGAAGAAGAACGGATAGTTTACTAGGATAGATATTCTAACAGAGTAAGGATACAAGGGATAACTCTCACTGGTAAATCATGAATCAATGTCGTTAAGCCAATCGACCAAGAGAAAGTTATCAATAAATACCGATAGTTTTCAACAAGTTGAAAGGGATCGTATTTAATTCCGTCCCCGTTGAATGGCAATATAAAGCGTCCACCTATTCTATCGCTTTTGACCGGTAAATTCCAGGAACCAAAGTCGTGGATGCGCTGGAACAGAAGCAGAGAATCATCGTCATAGGAACGGGAATTATTTATTGAATGTCAGGTGATTGAACCGTGGGGAGAATGGAATGTCGTGATTGTTAAAAAGGTGTAGGTGTTATTAGTTTTATTTGTGATAAAAATGTAAGTGCCTTTTTAAATCAATTATTATGTTTCAATTATTTTTATATTATTTAACTAGTTGATGGTTCACTATTTAAATTTGAATTTCACTGTTATAAGTAATTTCATGCTTTTTCTTGACAGCATTTTTTGTATCTGTCATAAAAAATTGCTTGCATTCCAATAACGAGTTTATTTGATTTTATTACTTATTTTACTATCTAAATCAGTGAAAAATAGCATCCTTTTAATATTTTAATTTAAATATTTTTGAAGTTTATTGATATTTTATAGTTATACTAAGGAAAATTTGCTATAATTTTGATTTGACTTTGAGATTATTTTTTTTTGTCATTTTTAAAGTTCGGCAAGGGAAAAGTAAGATTATATTAGTAAATTATGTGTTTTCCTAACATCAGATATTCACAGCATTGGCAGATCTAAGTTAAAAGTATAAAATGCCTTGTTGATTGATACTAACATTTTCGCCCGTGGCTGGGACAACATCGGGATAGGTGTCTCGGTAACTTACCCTATTTTGTCACCAGAATATTCAACTCTAGGTGGGTAGTAAAGCTTTAGAGCTTCCCCATTACCTTGTCCCTACTAACCCTTCTTCAGTTTTGCATCGAGTGTGTTTGAACCTAGTAATGCTCAATGTTTATTATCTGATGAGTTATTGTTCTTAAAATATTTATTTTATTTTTTCCTTGCAGTATTAGATATTGTTTTTTTTTATATAATGTATTGAATATTATTTCATATATTTTCCTGTGTTTAACTCAAATTGAATATTATTTCATATATTTTCCTGTGTTTAACTAAATCATCAAGTAATTAAATGTGTTTTTTTTATATATATACTTAATTTGTCATTTGTATCCAAATTGACGTTTGATTGGTTTTATTGTATTTATTATAACTTTGGGGTTTTCTTGCTGGTTCTTTCCCCTCATTTGATAAATTAATTATTTTTTTTTAATGCACCGAACCAGACCTATATTTAATCTTTATAAATATATTTTATATACTTATAAATTTTTACTTTCTGATTCTGTCATCTATAATATTTTCAATAAAGATTAGATATAAATCAATATATATTTTCTTTTAACCTTTACCACTCCCTCAATAACACGTAAGTAGCCAATAGATAACGAATCTTTCAGTCTGTCACTCGTGGTGTCCTAATCACTTCATAGTCGATCACGCCGCCACTTTATTTATCATACTTTTATAAAAGAGAGAGATATTAGTTAAGTTGTCTCTCTTTATTTCAGTTGGTTACACTACAAAGTAATACTTCTAAAATCTTATCTAATGAACGTTTACCTTTTTTGTCCACCTAGAAAAAAATTAGTCCAATTTACTATTAAGAATTATTACGAACGGCCAAATATGTATGTGTGACTACAAGTGGCTATTTTTGAAGGGCCCAGGGTCGCGTGTTTTGGATAGCCTAATTAGTCGAAAACAACGACATGTCAAAAACTCGTTTATTACAAAACTTTCCCTAAAACAAGAATTCTTTTTTAGGCTTGTGCTATAATGTATCTGCACATTAAAATAAATACATACATGGGCCAGTTTCTAGATTGTTTTCAAGTATCTTTTGTTTCGTTGAAAAAAGTCAGTAATATAATAAAACAAGATGTCATCATCATTCAAACCGTTTGCGTTTTAATGTTTATAATTGGTTTATTGGTCCACCTGAATTGTTTGTTATTGAACGTATTCAATGCCAAGGAGAGCATCTATTATCCAGCCGCATATTTGGAGAATAAATACGTTATGATACTTTTGTTACTGCCCCAATGGTTCATGATGACTTACGAAGAGCTTTATATCGTTTGGGCCGTATTTTACTTCGCCATACATTTGAAGTTTCAATTGGACGCATTGACTCGGTATTTGAAAGAGAAAATAATTGATTTGCAAGTAGACGAACGGATATGCATGGAGGACAAACACTATCAGGATATCGTCTATAGACGTTTAAGATTTTGCGCACAGCGTCACGTCAAATTGAAACAGTAAGTTATAAAGAGTGATTAAAAAAATTCCAATTGCTGCTTTCTGGTTCGAATATCCACATCTAATGCATTTTGTTTATCCACTACAACATCCACTACATCTGCGTTTACATTTTTTACATCTCGATTTGAAATGAGATGTGAACACATACTTTGATTACTATACGGTGCAAGAGAGAAGTCCGACACGCCCAACATAGGGCGCGGCCATTTTGGTGCCTTTACCACAGTTTATAGATAAAGAATTAGTTCACTCACTCTGCGTCGGCACTTTTAATCTCAATGTTCCAGTTTATACACTGCGCAACTCGGATAATACAATATATGACAACCGCCTATAATAAAACAGCAGTCTTCTGCGCATCCTGAATTTGTATCCCTGGAGTGGATGTTATTTTGGAACATTCAACTGGTCTGAGTGAGCTGATTCTTTAGCTAAACTGTGACTCAAAATAATATTCACAGACACTGACAGCAGCAAGCAAAATATCAGGTGCATTTTAATCATTCGCTTCTGCTTCCGGAATTGTCGGTTTAGTGGTTTTAACCACTGATTTGTATGTAAAATAATACAGATCAGTGGTTTTAACCCACATACTTTGATTTTCTTCTACTATACGGAGAATGGTCGCACTGCGCAGCTTTTTAAGTGCCTTTTAAAAGGAGATAGAAAACTCCGCCATTTTGAACCCTTATCACGTGTTGCCTACATCTTGGCGCCATATTTTTAATAGGTGCGTTTTAATCATCCGCTTCTGCTTCGGAATTGTCGGTTTTCTTGTTTTAATCTGACAGGTTAAAACCGACAATTCCGGAAGCAGAAGCGGATGATTAAAACGCACCTGATATTTTGCTTGCTGCTGTCAGTGTCAGTGAATAATAGTCGTTTTCTTTTTACAAGCATACTTGACTAACTAAAAGTTAGATTCTGATCTAAGCTTAACTGTAAAAAGAACGCGAATTTTGGTTGACAGGTGACGTATCCCATGTCATCCGTTTAAAAACAATCCATATTTTAATCAAATTTTATAATTTTTTCAACATTCAACACTACAAATCTCACCCCCTGTTATCATAGTCTTTTATTCTCATCAAAATAATGAATTCATGGGATATGTTTCTTCATATGATGCACAGAACACTCACTTTCTGTGATGGTTTATGGTTGACGTCAAGTACCGTGCACCTTAGCATCGGTAAGGGGGGAAGAAAGATTCTGACTTACAATCATAAAAAGAACGTACATCTCAGCTTAGTCGATGTAAATTAGCTCAGATTAGGTCTTTTCCTTTGCATCGAAAGTGTAGCACTGATCTACACCACTTCTGAAAATATCGTTCCATTTGTACAAATTGTATGGATGGAACGATATTTTCAGAAGTGGTGTAGCTCATTGCTACACCTTCAATGCAAAGGAAAAGACCTATTAGTTGTAAAAAGAAAACGACTATTATTTTAGAAGTCACAGTTTATTGCTTAAGAATCAGTTAGCTCACTCGGACCAGTTGAAAGTTCCAAAATAACATCCACTCCAGGGATACAAATTCAGGATATGCAGAAGACTGCTGTTTTATTATAGGCAGTTGTCATATATTGTATTATCCGAGTTGCACAGTGTATAAACTGAAACATTGAGATCAAAAGTGCCGACGCAGAATGAGCGATCTGATTCTTTAGCTGTAAACTGTGTCACAGGGTTCAAAATGGCCGCGCCCTATGTTGGTCGTGCCGGACCTCTCTCTTGCCTCGAATAGTAATCAAAGTATGTGGGGGTAGGGTTAATGTCATATAGTCATCCAGTTTAATATCAAAGTCGGTGGTTGCGGGCGGAAAAAATTCAAAATTGGTAATGAATCGGACATGGGCACAAAGTATGAATTAGTAGTTCTGAATCAGTTCAGGATTCTTGCCGCGAACGAAACTAGTAGGCTTCTTTTGGTTCTTTCGGAAACTAGTGCAGAATCACTAAATTACACTCGATCAGCTAAGAGGTTGTTCTTGACGCGACGTGTTCTTGAAAAATTAATTCGTCCACTGTATTTGAAAACTGGTATCGACAGTTCTATTTGAACCTAAGCAAATGTCGGTTTGGTACAGTTCTTTTATGTCTGGTACACCTTTTAGGGTTATTTTAAAATGTTCTTCTGACTTTTTTAGGATATTTGAAGAAACAGCATGCAAAGTAGCATCAGCAGCTCTCCTACTTTCAATATTCACTGGATCATTGTGCGTCATTGCAGCCCTTTACTTTATTTTGAACGTAAGTAGAAATATTGAGTGTGTTAATAGATATTTATGTAATGCCTTATTTTATGTAATGAGTAAATATTTGCGGGACAAGCAGATCAGAGCGAGGATGAAGGTGTTATTTATCCATACCGTACGCAACTGATTGTTTTTCTGATAGGCACCAAATATTTTATCGTTGTAGGACAGCTGTTGCCGCCCAACAGTGATGTATATTTGCTTGGATTACCTTCAGATTTTTTTTTAAAGGTATCCCCTACTTCTTGATGTAGGGTCCTCTTCCTCCTCCGGCACGTCGGCCGGGTCAGACAGCGGTGAGTCCCCTAAAAGAGTCATCTCCTCGTCTTCACCTAGCTCGCGTGCTGTGTATTCAAAGTCCCCTATTTCCATTGGAGCGTCCAGTCTCTTGTTCTGTAGCCCCACTTTCTTGTGGTTCTACGACCAAGGACTGATTCTCCTCCGGTATGTTTTCTCCTACCTCAGTAGGTGTTTCTTTTGCCTGAGAAGTTTCAGGAGCAGCAGGAGTAGCCCGTTACGCCTTTCCTCCAATTTCTTTTATTGAGATATTCGAGAAATTCAGGAACAGTATTCCTTGCTTCTCCATTATCTTCTCCCAAGAGACGAAATCCATGGTTATAAAAAGTTGCTGTCCCCTAGGGTCCAACTTCCTTCCAGTAACTCTCCAGTTCCCCGTTTGGAGCCCCGAATTTTGGATTCTTAGTCTCTTCATTATTCTTTCCGGTTCCACTGCGGGTCCCGGTATCCATGTCATGGTAAACTTGGGTTTGATTACTTCCCCAGAGTCTATGACTTTGAGTTTAGCACCATCCCAAGGTACCATGCTTTTGACGGTCTGCTCAACCGAATAGCTCGTTGCTTGATCAACGCAAGAAAGGTTTAAACTCCCGTTTCTTATCCTAGCTTCGGAGAACCTGGGTGAAAGTCCTCCTTCGTCTAGTTATTCGAGTCTGTCGAGCAGTGCAGTCCTTATTAGGTCTCCCTGCTCCGTTGTTAGTGTATTATTGGGATAGTCTATTGGTACAATGGCTACCCCAATATTGCTTACTTTAGAGGCGTACGAACACGATGCTACCGGCTCAGTCCCATCCGGCCCCACATTTGATGTGGTACCAGTTGGTTCCGGACCCGCAGCTCTCGCCCTTCGCCCTTTTGGTTTTTCATTTTTCCGGCGTGCTGGTATCGGACCGGTTTCTCTTTTGAGCCCCGGTTCGACCCTACTCGCTGGACACAGCCAGATGCTTGCCGCCGTACCCCTGGTCCAGCATTCACTGGCATAGTGGTCTGCCCTGTGCCGGAAGAACTAGGTCCAGCCTCACTCCCCACATCTAATGATGGAGGATGCGCTGCCCTGTCCCTCCTGCTCAGAAGTCCCGCTAGTGCCGGTGTTTTGTCGGAGCTTCTTTGGCTTTCGCCTGAAAGCTCCAGATTTTTTTTTGTATTTTTTTTGTTGTTGTTGTCCTTATCCATATAAGTCCCACGAGTAGCTAGGGAAAGATTCGTCACTCCTGACAGAGCCCCGCATTATCAGGAAAAGGCTGGTTACTTGGGGGTGTCGCCCGGTGCCCCCAAGGGAACGTTCGATGTCGCATATACCCCTGCGACAATTCATCCATCGGCACGTTACCTTACACCTTAGATTGGGGGAGTTGGTTCGCGGCGGTAGACTTCGCAAAAGATTTTGAGAGTTTTTAGGCTCTCTCACTCTACTTATATCTACCACTAACCAAGAAATCCTGGCCGTCCTCCCATCCACCACCTGGAGACGCGCTCAGTTGGCACTCAACCACTGAGAACTAGATATAGTTACTCAGTGATCTATTATTAAGTTACAATAATGTAGATATTTTACTAAACAAATGTAGAAATTTTAAAGTTCTTAGTGAATTTATTTCCTAAAATTGGCACTAAATCTAGTACGTTTGTTGATTTTTTACTACATTTATTAATTTAAGGAATAAAAAAACTCAATCTTAACATTGTATAAAGAACTAAGTTCTTTATACAATGATGTTTGTTTGAGTTTTTCCTTTCCTTCACTGAGACATGGATAACCTTGTTATTATTATTTTTTAATTTGTTGTCAATCTAGTACTATTTAGAGACATTTGTGTAATTATCCTATTTTTTGTTTTTTAGAATGTTAATCCAAAGTTTAATTCCATTATGTATGGAGTACTAATAAATGCAACACTGTATCATTACTCTGGGAATTACTATGGACAAAAGATTATAGATGCGGTAAGTGGTAGCTTGTAATTTCATAATATTTAATCATTTGCTGTTACTTAAGTTCATTGCGAGTACTTATTTATAATTTTTATTAGTCTTAAGTTATCCCAGCTAGCAAGGGACGTCGTTTCAAGTCATAATCACGTTGAATTTTGGTCAAATACGTCGATGTGATTTTTTGACGCAAAAGTAACGTAATAATGACGTCATATTCGGACCAATTTGACGCGTGAACACAGCAACTGCGAACAAAATAAACTTATTTATGTCATTAATGCATTGCGAGTTTTTGTTATTCATTATTAAATAAATAGAAGGTAATTCATACAACATCGTTTTTTAGCGGTCATTGTGACACCAAAATAAGACGTAATATGGCGTCATTTAGAGACAAGTTTGTCACGTTCCGAAATGAAGTGTTAAACTACTTACTTATACATGTCGATTCTATACCTGAAGCCCGTATTCACAGCACACGTTTAATTCAGATCAAGGGTATAATCGCGTTTAGTACCATAGCTAAATATTTTAATCACATAGAAAATAGTTATAACAAAAACAAACAAGAAATATTACGTGTAAAACTGATTATCACCGATCAGAAAATTAACATTTGACATTTTTGACACATTCCTACAGATATACCCGCTGATCTCCATCGGCCAACTCGGGGAAGAGTGAGCGCGCTCTGAGTACGTGATCTGTGGCAAGCCGAACACAAAAGAGTACGCTCTGAGTGCCAAAGCGACCACAATCGAGGCATACCGAGTGCACTCTGAGTACAGCGAACGCCAAACCGAACTCAGCCGTTGTTGATATTGTTTGGAAATGTCAGAGGTCAGGTCACATACTTTGATTTTCTTTTACTATACGGAGAATGGTCGCACTGCGCAGCTTTCTGAGTGCCTTTTAAAAGGAGATAGAAAACTCCGCCATTTTGAACCCTTATTACGTGTTGCCTACATCTTGGCGCAATATTTTTAATAGGTGCGTTTTAATCATCCGCTTCTGCTTCGGAATTGTCAGTTTTTTGTTTTAATCTGACAGGTTAAAACGACTAAACCGACAATTCCGGAAGCAGAAGCGGATGATTAAAACGCACCTGATATTTTGCTTGCTGCTGTCAGTGTCAGTGAATATTATTTTTGAAGTCACAGTTTATTGCTAAAGAATCAGTTAGCTCACTCGGACCAGTTGAAAGTTCCAAAATAACATCCACTCCAGGGATACAAATTCAGGATACGCAGAAGACTGCTGTTTTATTATAGGCGATTGTCATATATTGTATTATCCGAGTTGCACACTGTATAAACTGAAACATTGAGATCCAAAGTGCCGACGCAGAGTGAGCGATCTGATTCTTTAGCTGTAAACTGTGTCACAGGGTTCAAAATGGCCGCGCCCTATGTTGGGCGTGTCGGACCTCTCTCTTGCCTCGTATAGTTATCAAAGTATGTGGGTCAGGTCATTGTCCAGGGGTTGGCGGCATTTGCACTTTTTGTTTTGTAACATTCACCATAACCTAACATTTTATCGTTTGATTTTGCATGTTTTTCTAAGGTAAGTAGTTAGGAACTTTAGTGCGGTTATTATTGTTTATATTTTTAGTATGTTTATGGAAATTCAATAAGCCAATAAGAACAGCAGCGGAGTATCATTAATCCACACAAAGGAGCTGACATCCCGAAAGCAGGAGATTCTTGTAAACAAGATTCTTTTACCAGCTTAAAAAAGCGACTCCTTAGGAGAAAATTGGACTTTTACTTATTTATAGAACATATTTCACCGAAGAGGAGTGATGTTTTATATTATAAAGGTGCCTGTAAATAGCCTAATTTTATTTTAATTATTAACAGACATTAATATTAAGAGGGCTTCATACTCATTTAAAATGATTTTACCTTTTGTTTCCATATTACATATTCGATTTTCATGAAATTTTCAATAGCCAATTTGGAAAAAATCTATTTTACGGGAAAGTATTTGTTTTTATTTTATTGTTAACAATATATTAATATTTTTATCAATATTTTTATTAATAAGTTTCCCGAAAATGTAGCTTTTTTAAATCTTTGGTATGAGTTTCATTTGCAAATAATGATAAATGAACCTTTGGGGCGTAAAATAAAAAGTGTATTTTACAACGATTGATTAGTGGCGCCACGGCATACAAATAACAGATGCAGTAACAAGAATGCAATGCTTATCCTTTTTTTATAAAACATTTTCTTTATAAATTAAACATTTTTAAATGAGTATTATGGTGTTTCTTTTGACGTCTAAACACGTTATCTGGTGACGTATTTATCAAGTCGTTGTATGACGTCTTTGATCTGTGATATACTGCCGTCATAATCATGTCACCAGCATGTTATAAATTTGGTGATTTCGGCATAAAATGTAACGTGTATTTCACGTGAAAATCACGAGTCTGTGCTAGCTGAGATGTTATTTATGTTATTTTGTTTCACCCTGTATTATGGATTTAAAACAGAATTGTCAAAATGTTTTTGACAGGAGAGAAAAAAAAAAAGGATGTCAACGAGAATATAAGAATATAAAACAATCAATAAAATGGTTTTATTTTGTTTTATTTTGTTTTATTTTGTTTTATTTTGTTTTATTTTGTTTTATTTTGTTTTATTTTGTTTTATTTTGTTTTATTTTGTTTTATTTTATTTTTTCTTATTTTAGATATATGTATTAATGTGAATTTAGAATAACGTGTGTCAATATTTTAAAGACTATTTATTTATACTTTGTATAACCACATTGTGTTTTTCAATAAGTATTTTAACTTGGACAATAAACGTATATTCTGTTTCTCTTTTTCTCTCTCTTATTGTTTTCTTAAAATATTAATACATAATATCGTAACAATGACATTTATTGCTTTATTTTTAGACTTTAAAAGTTTTATATTTTGCGCGCTTGTTAAAAATAGACCAAGAATTATCGATAATAATTTGGAAAACATCTCATTTATACTTTTATTTTCGTAGTCTGAGAATTTCTACAGCGAATTGATAATGTGTCCCTATTACTACTGGAACAAGAGAAATAGAGGCATTCTGCAAATGTTATTAAACGGATCAAAAACACCTGTTGCAGTAAGTTGCTATGGATTATCAGAAATAGGTTATCCCCTAATGCTAAGTGTAGGTATATACGAGGATATATCGGGAAATTTCTAGGACGAAACAGACAAAAAAACTTTTCGAGCAAATTTCATTCATTTTTTCTACTTGTTAGAAAAAGCTTTAAGAACGTAGATCAAATTAAACAACCCTACTCTTCGAGATCTGCTTAATGACTAACTGTCATTTGTCACACAAAACAAAAAGTTATTTACAATAACCAACAATAGGTGGAACCACACATCAGTAAATACAAGTAACAAGATAATTGAATTAGGCAATTTTCAATATCCTAACCATCCAATGTCTTTAAAGACCTTTCAGTATTCAATGATAATTTCTTTCCAGAAAACCATTTCTTGGGATTTTAAAACAGATATAAATCGAAAGAAGTCAAGTCTGGTGAATATGGGGCGTGTTCAATTAACTGAAAGCGTAATTCGTGCTTTCGCTATCGCAATTACCGACTTGTAGGGAATTATGTTGGTGGTACAAGACCATTTTCTTTACAATGAGGCCTTTTAGCATTTATTTCTTAATTCACGCTGTCTAATAATGAATCATAATAATAATATTGCCCTTCACTGCTTTGGTCTCCGAAGTGTAGTGATGTAGGTTTAGGTTTAAACATGTTCAGACATTGCTAAGAAATTGTCATTTGAAGTCGCTTTTGGTTCATTGTCAAGAGACGTGGCACACATCTAGCACTAAGTTTGTGCATGTCAAAATAATAATAAAAAAAGAAGGAAATTGATTTTTTTGTGAAAAATAAATTAACATCAAAAATTAAAGAAACGAAAAAAAGGGGAAGGAAAGAAAATATATAGAAATTTTACGAGGAAGAAATTTAACAAAGAAATATTTTAATTTTAACTGACAAAAAAAGAAAATGCAAAAAGAAAATTGAACTGTAAGCTCACAATTAACTCAAAGGGAGTGGGTTCTCACAGCTTCGGATTCACAGAGGAATTTTGCTACTAGTAACTAGTACGAAAAGGAAGGCAACAAGAAATAAGGACGCCAGGTATTTTAGAGACAGAAAATACCAACTGTACCTTCGGTAAACCTGAAAAATTGAATAATGTGCACAAAAATTGTGGTTCAATAGGTAAATAATAAAGAAAATATTAAATAAATAGTATTTTATTCCTTTTATCCTAAGATACAAACTCTCTCTCTATGGTGACATGTAAGTTAAAGAAATATTACGGAACTTCCACGACGTCGGCTGGACGGTCTCTCTGGAAGCAAGCAGGGCCTGGTGTTAGGCCGGTGTCCTAAGATCCGTAGTGGTGTTGTTCTGCAGCTGGTGATGTTGTTCTTTTCTTCCTGCAGGAAGAAAGGGATCCTTTCCGTCTTTAAATTCTTTCTTCAAAAAAAGAACTTGAATGGATCTGTCTTCGAAATCTTTTCCAGAGTGCTCTAAATCTTTTCTTTCCAGAGTGTTAATGTGGACCTGGGAGGGCCTTGTTCTCGTTAGGCCCAGTTAATTCGATGGCACTCAAACCAGAAAAGAAAGATATCTGGTATCTGGAACCAATTTTGGTAGAGAATTTAGGTATCCCCACTAGTTCGGTCAAATCGATCGTGTACCTGTACGAATTCTTTATTTAGAATATTTAGATTCAAAATTATTTTTTGAATATTGTGTTACGAGGGGACGGTAAAATTTACCGTAACAGTTGCTGTTTGAAGCAATATACGTGATCGTATGAAATACCTACTTTTTCTTCTAACTTTCTCGACTTCACTTGGCGATCATTCATCACGATTTCATGGATTATTTCTTTATCAATAGCTGTTTTTGATCTGCCAGAACGTGGTGCTATACTCCACGCTTGTTCTAGCGCTTTTAAATTCAGCAACATAGTTTGCAACCGTTCCATACAAAGGCGAAGACTCACTATGAACTTCGTTTTCATTTATTCACCATTGAAGCCTTTTAAAATGAAATGATTTTTACTGCACAAAACTCGTTTTTATTCATTAATAAGAAAACGCACGAATTGTTTACTTAATCCGATATTATAGTCTATTTTTATGTATGAGAGAGTATTAAAATAATAAAGCGTTCGTAATCCATAGGCGTACCACTTCTTTTAGTAGACAGTTAAAATATTTTTTGAAGTTATTCCTCCAGTATACACTTCATCTAATTAACCTGCTTTTAACTTCTAAACAGCTGAAGGTAAAAAAGTGCAATTTTTTCTAAAATGTTTTATTTTTCCACAAGGTATGTTAAGAACATTGTGTCAAACGGGTTATGTAGGTATAAGGATTTAAACTTTGACTTTTAAACAACGTTACGTTCATAAATAATAATTTTAATATAAAAACTACTTCTTACCTACAAATCCAAATCAGAATCGAAATCAGAAGATGAACTGTCGCAACCAATATTTACAATGAGTGGCTCGATCATTTCATTAGTAATATTGTCCAACTTCCACATTTTCTCTTCTTCTTTAATCGTATGATTTACTGCCTTTTCCCAGTTTTCAGGCTTCACATTATTTACAGCCTCCAAAAACAACTGTTTAACATCACTCATTTTAAAAGAATTATTTTTTTCTTGAAACTTCTCCCTTTATCTGTGCCCATATCAGTTCAATCGGGTTTACTTCGCAATGATATGGTGGTGATCTAACCACCGTCATCCCACGATTTTTTGCAATTTCATTAATTTCATATTTTTTGAATTTCTCTTTATGAAGGGAACACAAATGATACAGTTCTTTTCTCACAGAACCGGGATGGAACTTAATATTCTTTGAATTTAACCAATTCTGTAAATCTTTTTTTAACCACTTGGTTGTGGGCATTTTTTCTATAAGTCTCGAGTGATAACTTGCATTATCCACTACTATTATACAGTTCTGAGGAAGAAGATCTATAATTTGTTCAAACCACTCTTTAAAGACATCAGCATTCATGTCCTCATGGTAGTCACCGGTACGAGTAGATTCAAAAGTCAATAAACCACCCACCTTTAAGAAAACCGTTTGAACTACCGATGTGTACTATTATTAGTCTGCGCCCCTTTCCTGATGGTGGATTTAAACCAGTAGATAAATTATTTAAAAAAGCCTGTCTTCGACTTGTAACAGTTCCATCTTGCCAAAATTTATTTGGTTTATGTCCCTCGTTGATCCATGTTTCATCTAACTAAAATATATTTCTTCTTTGGTTTCTCATTTCTTTTATAGTCCTTAGGTAATTTCTTCTCCATACTACAATATCGCTTCTTTCTATTAAAATAGACTTTCTGGAATGCTTTTTCCATAGAAAACCTATTTCTTTTAAAAGTTTCCATAGTGTGCTTCGACTCATTTCAGGGTAATCCTTATCATCTCGAACCGTGGTAAGAACTTTGTCTACTGTCGGAAATTCTTTCAAAAGATTTTCTAATTGAAATTTTGGTTTTCCTGGAGCTTTACGTGCTGTTTGAAACTCGCCACATTTCTCTTCTTTAACAACTCTGTAAATCGTAGATTTCTCAACACCAAGCGTACTACTAACTAATTCCACTGTGTCATTAACACTTTTACATAAATGTTTGTCTGTAAATGATTTAAAACAATTAAATATTAATGTTTTTTCATTAACTGTTAAAGGACCGATGTTTTTGTCGTTTACGCGGCCCTTCCAAATTTTCCATGATCACACTAGAATTGACACTGCACCTTGCAACTAAACGATATTTAGAAAACTGTCAAGAATACACAACTTGGACCTCCTTACTAAATGGAAAACCTATAATCGCATTTTCGGTGAAATTTGTTGGGAAGGTATTTATCTACTTATAATTCGATTACTGTAAGAAATTCTTTGAATTAAAATAAAACAAAATTGGCAAATAGGTACTTATTGAAAATAATCTTAAGATACGGCTATGTAATCTTTAATACACAGGGCTTTTGGCCTGTCCAAACCTTTTTCTATTGTTCTGTACAGCTTATGTTTATAAAGGACCAATAAAAGACCCAAAACTTGTAATAGCTCAGGTACATTTATTACAATTTTAGGAAATATTTAGATTATTCTGTAAACATATTTAAAATGACCGTACTAAGTTTTGCATTAGAAATGCTGTTTTATTACTCTCATACATAAAAATAGATTATAACGACGTATATTTATGGACAATCTGAATATTTAACAACAGTCGTTGCATTTTCAAAACTAGTAATCAACACGCGCGGTAGCGTCATCTGGTTCATTCTAGAAACATTCCGATCTATTCTCGTAAGTTTTTTTTACTGTAATAAAAACAAAAATTAATTGATCAATATCTAATATTCATGTTATTTTTAGGGAGTCCGTTTTTGCTATTCAGTCTTCGCTTTGATAAAAAATTTCTAATAAATATGGAAATAATAAGCAAAACAATTTATTCGAAAGAATTAGATAGTTATCATTCTTACTTCGGAATTCTGTAAAACAAAACAAATTCTGAATTTTAAAAAAATTCATTGATCAAAAGGTACCATTGGATCATCATGCAAGAAGTCATATAGAAAATAAGAAAGAAGAATCACATAAAATCTTGCAAATAATACCTTCACAATAAGTTTCTATGTAAAATATTTAAATTTCTAAATATTTAATGAATTTTATTATGCATTCTTAGATTATTATTCATTGTAAGTCAGTAATAGGAATTGTCACGCAAAAGAAAATTGCAATAAAATTTATCTTTAGTCCACTTATGTTTATAATTTTCTCGAATATTCCTGAAAAATCGATTACCTGAAAATGGTGACTCAAACGTCAATTCACTAACCACTATATTTTTACGGTTACTATAGGCGTGTTCTTTTATTCAGCGCTGTATCCAACGATTGCAGCAAACCGATCGTAAATTAAGCGATGGAAAGACGGTTGTATGTGTCAATCGTTCTTTTTTCAAGCGGTGAGTTCACCAATGAGCCAACGCATCCATCGGCTTTAAAAGCCGATGGTTATGTGATGGATGAATGGAGGGGACAGTTAATAAATTTTTTGAACGTGTAAACACGATTAATTAGATAAAAGTTAACCTACAATATAAAAGCTTAAATATAAAACGACTGCAGATGAGATAAATTCTAAAAGCAACTCATGTGTGTTGACAACGTCTATGCCGAGACACATGCGCAGAAACATCTTTCTGTCTGTTGTATCGACATCGACGATGTGGTGTATTTGTGATCGTTTCTTCTGACAATAAAGACGTTAGATCTTTAGAACTTTACACCTTCCGAATTTATTTTCTGTGGAAGTACTTTTCTGGAAAATGATTCTGCAGTATTTAGTTTTACGAAGGTGTAAATTCTGTACGGATCGAATGGACAAGGCTGCAGAAATACTGGCCGGCGATGGTTTTACGATTTTTATTAAACTCAAATGAACCTATTTGGAAAAAATCTATTTTTTTACATAGATAGGCTTGTAAATAAATATATAGGTATAACTATTTATATTTTTTAAGTGATCTAGTTATTTAAAATTTTTAGAACAAAAATTATTTAATAATGAAAGGACATTGGCACTATAAAAAACATCGGCTAATTTTACCAATAGGAAATAACCTTTTTTTAATTTTTAACTTTAATATCCTGTAACATAAAAATGGATGGTCTTGAGGACATTTTTTCTCATAGTTTTCAGACCTCTCTATTTTTTCTTTAACACCTTGTATATATAAAATATATTGTTATTCTATAGTTCACCCTTTAAAATGTATAAGCAGCAAATAATATGTAATTTTTTTATTACCAAGTAAAAAAAATTGAGTTTAATAAAATCCTGGAGGCATTGAAGGCTTGCTATTGAAACGGAATGAGTCGTTGAGCATTGAGGTCAGAATGAAAGATCGTCGCCGGGAACAGAAGATTTCCGGAATTAAATATACCGGGTAACGCGAATAAATGGTTTTTGGACCTTGAATGGAAAAGCTGAGAGAACGATTAGAACATGGGACTTCGTTGACTTTAATTGGCGGTGAGTGTTTAATAATTTCTTATTTATATCTTCGATACCATTTTTAAATAGATTTGTTTGTCTGGAAAATGTTCCCCCTGCATATCTTTGTTTAAGATTCTTTAATGATTGGTGCTGTCAATCTATTGACGATTTTCAAATTAGGCGCTTAAATGATCCGTGTTGACCAATTTGGTCACAGTACCACTAAAGAAAGAAAACAGTAAAAGATGGTGGTTGATGGTCGCGTGACCAAACAGTGTCGGCTAGAGTCAGGTCGCTTTGTTCGAATTTTGTTGTGTATTATTGTGATTTTCCATTTGCTGAACACACACTTGTGGTGTAAAATACCTGAAAGTCAATATAGTACATTTTCTCAAGTACGTAAATAGCATATAAGGTTTTTCGATATTAAATGGAATTTGGTGCCTGTTTTTTCTGTTTATAATTATTTTTTTATTATGTTTAGATTTACTAGAAATTCTAAATTATGAAAATATAACCAATATTTAATTACACAATGTTTAGAAAATATTTCTCATTCAATGTTTCTAATATCCATAAACGCAGTATCGCTTTGTCTGTGACACGAGGTTTGTGCGAAACCATTTCTTCTTATCGTTTTATAGATAGTGTGCATTCAGATTAAATTTGTATTGTAAAAATTATTGATTTAATTATAAGGTAAGGTCTTTAAATTTAATATGGCTGAAAGCGGGGGCGGTGCAACATATCAAAAAGTCTTAGGGGGATCATTTTGTCCCACTCTCCCCTAGTTATTTCAGAGTTGTGGCTTAAACCACATAATTTTTTACTTAAAAGTTTTTAATTAAATTCTTAAACCTAGAGCAGACGGATACGGTGGTGTAGGTATATTCGTTGCAAAAGGTATAGCATTCCGTGAAATTGTTTCAGCACAGAATTTTAATAATAAACAGTAAGTATGTGCAATTATCATTGATTCATTAAACATTTCTCTGGTATCAATATATAGGCCTCCAGATGTTAAAATTAATATAAACGATTATATAAATCTCTTCGAACAATTTCCCATTTCTTGCCTTTTCTGTGGTGACTATAATGCTCATCACGGCTCTTGGAGCCAGATTCCAGAAGACTCTAATGGAAAACCTTTAATAGAGGCTCTAGATAATTTTAACCTAATTACCCTTAACGATGGGTCTCCTACCAGAATTTCTCCCAATGGCTGTAAATCTGCAGTTGATCTTACAATAACATCTCATATGGCCGACTCAGTCAACTGGCAAGTACTAACCGATTCTATGGGATCAGATCATTATCCAATTAAGTTAGAATTGCAAGTCAATCTCTCATCTTTCCATATCTCTCCTTCAACTAAATGGAACGACTTGTGCGCAGAATGGAATTTATTTGAAACCAAAATAGAGACAATCTTTGCAAATAATGACAATAACTATTCTAATACAGACGATCAAATTGATTTTTTATTCAACTCTATTTCGTCAGCAGCCTCTATGTCTATGCTCATTAAAAAACCCTTTGTTCCGTCAACTCCTAAAGCATATTGGTGGGATAATTCTATGCATATGAAATAGTAGGGACACTTAGATGTTTAATAAATAACGTTTTTTTTTATTGTATTTTATTTAAAATTAAATCCTAACTATCAATTTAACTTTAAAATCGTTTAATTTTTTTTAACAAAACATAAACAATTTATAAATAAAATAACTAGATTAGCTATTTTATAACATTTTAATCTTAAACGATTTCCGTTTTTTTGGCTCGAAAACCAAATATTGATGATCCCACTCTTACGTTTGTACTACCCAAGTCAATCTGAAAAAAATAACATGAGTTAAATGGTTGGTAAAAAAAACTATAAATGTTAATAAACCATTGATAGGCATCAGGCAATGTATCTACAGTTAGTCCAAAAAGTCTCCGTACACTACCTGCTTTATATAGAATTTTTCTGTTGCATTTAATTTATTAATTGAAACTACGAGATAACTTTTCAATAACTGAAGCATAAGTAACGATTATAAGTTATAATTACAATAAATGGACATTTTTATTTAAAAGAAACATCGGCATTATAAAAATCTATGCAAAATTTATGTCAAAAAAGTCTACGTACACTCATAATTTTCATTGAAAAAAGCACATTATAATTAGCTGCATTTCATCAAGGCACCTATGGCTCTCGCCAGCCTAAAAACAAATGAATAATTATCGGCCATAATTTATTATCTATCATTTGTTGTTGGTAGATTTGCAGTGAAGTTTTAAATTATCATTAAAAATGAGCGAAAGAAATCGTGAAATTGCAATTCCACTTCGAAAGTTGATAGTTGATTTATGGAAAGAAAAAAAATCCCTTAGAAATATTGGGAAAATTGTTAAGAAGCCGTATACTACCGTTCAGTACATTATAAACCAGTATAAATTAACGTCCTACAAGATTCGACCACGTTCTGGTCGTCTCAAGAAAGTGACTCCGCGTGAAGAAGCTAGTATTGTTAGGCAAGTAATTATAAATCCCAAGAAAAGTGCACCAAAACTAAAAGAAGAAATACGAGAGCTATTTTCAAAAAAAGTTTGCCCACAAACGGTGAGAAAGTGTATACACAGAGCAGGCTATAAGGGGTGTACTGCCAGAAAGAATCCGTTAATTTCGGAAGTTAATCGAAAAAAAAAAACGTTTAGCTTTTGCTACAGAATACGTTAATAAGCCTCCTGAATTTTGGGAATCTGTAACATTTAGTGACGAAACTAAAATTAACCTTTTTGGATCTGATGGTAGAGCTAAAGTTTGGAAAAAGAAGAATACCGCCTTTGATATCAAAAACCTCTGTTCCACGGTAAGACACGGGAGTGGCAGTGTTCTGCTATGGGGATGCATGTCCGCTGGAGGTGTTGAAAATTTACATTTCATTAATGGGATCATGGATCAGCATGTCTATATGAACATTTTGCGAGACAATTTAGCAGAAAGTGTGCAGAAATTAGCGCTCGAAGGAAGATACATTTTCCAATAGGACAATGATCCAAAGTATACTGTAAACTTGGTGCGAGAATGGATGATCCATAACGTGCGACAGCAACTTCACATACCCCCGCAATCACCTGATGTTAGGCCCATTGAACAATTATGGGAGGAACTTAAACGGCGCGTTCGCAAACGTTCAAGTAAGGGAGAGTTAAAAAATAGAGTATTCCTCGAATGGGAGAACATTCCAGCAGAACTTACTAGAAAGTTGGTTTCAAGTATGACAAGAAGGTTACAAGCGATTATCAAGGCCATTTGTTTGCTATCTGTTAAATTATTATTAGAAACTGTTAGGTGTACGGAGACTTTTTTGGCATTATTTTTGTATAGATGTTTATATTATTGATGTAATTTTTAAATAAGGATTCGTTTTTGCAATTATTACTAATAATCGTTAAAAGTATGTTTCAATTATCAATAAAAATATGTTCTCATACAGTTTTGATTAATTAATTGAATACAACAAAAAAGTTCGATGTAAAGCAGATAGTGTACGGTGACTTTTTGGACTAACTGTATATACAACTACAAATACAAAACTCTTTATTTCAACTCATACAAAATATTTTGTAGGTGACTGTCATAAAAAATGACATTTTACTGATTTATTAACATCCATAAAGTGTCACTTTTTTGTCCGCATTTACTTTACGGCCGCTTTTTATAAACACAGATTTATCACACTTATCGTTAACGATAGATTTTTATTAGATCAATAAAAATTTGAAACAATTCTTGAATTTAAGCCTCTTTTTAAACACATAACAAGAATGAAAAAAAAAAAAATATTGTATCTACTTGATTAGACAATCTCCTAAAAAATGTTGTGTGCATGATATTTTTTGGCCTAACCAGAAGTTGCTTGGCCTCGGCTACACTTCGGCCGCAAATTTCTGACTGGGCTAAAAAATCAACTTTACGGGCTTGGTATAGATGTATTAAAAGAACGGCTTTGAGTAAAAAGAGTAAAATGAAGTACTTTTCAAACGCACCTGTTTAATAATTAATATTAGTGCTTCTTTTTTAATAATCTGTTTCCTAATAAGATATAATTCTGCAGTTAAACAAAATGTTGATTACTGAAGAAATGTGTAGCATGCCAATTGTGTTCCTAGAATATTTTTAGAGTATTTGAGTTTTAAACGTATTTTTTTTTATGAATGCTCCACTTGATGTTGTGTCAAATATCCCCAAAACTATAAACAGAATTAAGTGCAATAGTGCAACTGTCACACAAAACCCGATACAATTATTCCCTTGTATGCAAGGTGAATTATTAGAACTCTTACTTGATAAAATAAAAAATCTTGCGGTTTCGATGAAATACCTGTTGTTCCTTTCATAATATCTCCTTTGACTTTTCTAGTTAACCTTTCATTCTGTAATGGTGATTTTCCAGACTACTTGAAAACAGGAAAAATAGTTCCTGTCTTCAAAAAAGGTGACCCAAAACTTGTTATTAATTATCGTCCCATAACGATCCCTTCCATATTTTCAAAAATATTCCAGTATAGCTATTTAGGAAGACTAACTGCATACTTAAACAAGAATAATATAATTAATCAAGAACAACATGGTTTTCAAATGTCACGATCTACTAATACAGCAATTCATTCGTTTTACGAAAATATAACCAACTTACTAGACGCTGGCCAATGCCCTGTTGGGATCTTCTGTGATATCAGCAGGGCATTTGACTGTGTCGATCACAATATTTTATTTAGCAAACTAAATAGTATCGGTGTTATTAATCAGTCTCTTCAATGGATAAAATCTTTTTTAAGTAAACGTCGACAGTATGTTAGTCTTTCCATAAATGAAAAGTTAATAAAAACTTACAAATCCGACTATGTTTATACCAATATTGGTGTGCCACAAGGATCTATTATAGGCCCAATCTTATTATTGGTATATGTGAATGATTTAGTTAAAATTAGTCAATATGCACATTTTACACTATATGCAGATGACACATCAGCTCTTGTCTCTGACAAAAATGCCCTTACATTAGAAAATAAATGCAACCAGGTTTGTTCTAATGTTTCAATGGTTCTGTATGAATTCTCTTAATTTAAATGCAGAAAAAACCCATCTAATACAATTTTATAATAAACAGAAGTAAATTAGCCTACTCAATGTTATCATCAATAACAGAAAAATTGACGATACTCGATGTGTAAAATTCCTTGGTTTATACATTGATGAATGCCTTGAATGGAAGAAACATTGCGAGACAGTCACTTCAAAACTAAACCCCCATAAATTACTTATTTTGAAATTTAAAAACAGTTCTAACCGAAAAACAGCTAATCATGTTGTACTACGCACACGCACATGCTGAATCGCGTTTACGGTATCGTATCTGTTTCTGGGGTATATCCACATATCTTAATGATGTTTTTATATCACAAAAGAAAATAATTCGGTGTATTGCTGGTATTTCTCGCTCAACCAGTTGTAGAGAATATTTTAAAAAATTTGAAATTTTACCATTACCTTGTTTATATATTTTAGAAGTTTGTGTATTTGTATTTAGTAATTTAAATAGTTTTATGACAAATGGCCAAATTCATAATTTAAATACAAGAAATCGTAATGATCTTTATATACCATTTTCAAAGGGTAATACCTTATTCAAGTCACCCATTATATCTGGACAACGACTTTTCAATAATTTGCCTCCTCATCTTAAATCTTGTAAATCTGTAAATTTATTTAAATTAGCAATAAAACGATTTTTACATGAGGGTGGCTTTTATTCCGTAAGTGAATGTTTAAATGTCTAAATCTTCTAATTCTTTTCTCTTTAAAAGGGTTATCTAGTTTAAGTTTAAGATTATATTTTAAATATTGACAAATTTCATACGAATTATTCTTGTCATAAAATAAATGTTATATTAATTAAATGGCCAATTCTAACATTGTATTTAAACTTTAATGTAAATTGTCTTTCGATTATCATTTTGTTGTCTCTCTTTAGGTTAGTTAGGTTAAGAATATATTTATAATTTGACCAATTCTATACGTTGTAGATGTACTTCTGTCTTCTGTGATAGTACAATGTACAGACAGTTGTTCGTTGTCTCTTGTATCTCAATTTATTCTTTTTTATATTATTTACATATCTGGTTATTAAGAGCAAAAAATATTTGTAAACAATGTCAGACAGAAAGGAAAACATAGTTTATTTTGTAGTGAAAGCAAAATGCGAAAAATAACAGCTAAAAATTTTTATTTTGCAACTTACAACAAAAACCACGAGACGAGAGATCAAATTTGATTTAAAAGAAAGATTTAAGTTTGTTATTTTAATGAAAATCGGAAACGGGAAACACAAACAAATCCATAACTGTTATTTTATTCCACATAAGCTCGATGATCACGTGACTAAAAAATCTACTAGCTCTAATTTGCTAACACAAAAACATTTTTAAATATTTCCTGGATGCAAAATCCCCAAAAATAAACTACATATTATCTTAAATGTGATTCTACTAGTAAAAAATAAACACCTTTAGTTATTTCAAAATTCTATAAACTTATAAGTTGATATGTGATTCAAATTTTAAATTCTTATCAATGCATATTCCAAGAAATTTAGTGTGTATTAGATTTAGTATGTTTTGTTGACCAAGAACAACATCTGATATATTATATTTGAAAGTTATCGAACTAATTTTAAACACATTGAAGCTTAATAGGTTAGAATCACACCACTGTTTTATTAAAATAATATCAGTACTAATTTTATTAGCTAGTGTCAGCCACATTTATATGGTCTTACTATCATTTGTCATTAATAAACAATAAACGAAGTAGTGGGACATGATAATAAAATGAAATCATGAATTGTATATTATAACAAAAATCTTACCGCATGCTCAAAATCATCAGACATTCCCATAGATAATCCTACATCTTTCCAATCAATTCCCAATTCCTGGCATAACTCATCTCGACATTTCTTCAAACAAACGAAATCTGGATTGGGCCCATCAGCTGCATCGTATCCGAATTTACCTATTGTCATTAAACCATCAAGTTCAAGGTTACTGCAATCATTTAAGACAAACTTGACGACGTTCGTTACTTCCGCAGGAGGTACTCCATTCTTTTCTAAAAACAATATTGCCTTGATTTTTACAGTTTTTATATAAATAACAACTTTAGAAAATAAGAATTTAATTACTTAGTGTTGTAGATTGCTTAAAACTTTTATAAAATTTTACTAAAGCTTAGAAAAACTAATGTTGAAGGATATTGGATAATGATTAAATAGTTTCAAACCTATAGGACGAATTTAAGGTGCTGTAAAATAATAAAAGGTGGGATTTGTTTGTACTTTACTATAGTTAATTTTATTTTTTGTTTTTATTTGTAAAAGTAAGTAGTTTCCGTTTATCTCGACATTATATTTTAGATTTTCCAGGACTTTTTATGAAAACGAGTATGAAAATTAGTGTCTTGTCACACCACCCTCTATATGTATACTTATTGATTAATTTGAACTATTTGTGTAATATGAATAAATTTTGATTGTAACAGGGAAAAGTATTTATATTAAACTAGTAGCGACCCACCCTGGCTTCACCCAGTGATATTTTCTAAAGTATTCATTTGTATGATATAGTGTATAAGATAATTTTAATCTATATTAAATGCACAAAGTAACTGGCTTATTTATCTTACTAATAAGATTAATAATGAATTGGAGAAAATAGCTTTGCAAATAACCTCTTGTTTTTTACTAATCTGTAATAGATAAAAAATAGTTATCATGCGTGTACCTTAGAAGATAGACACATTATCACAGACTCTTCTGTAGACCTTTTTAAGACCTACAATTTTCTATTACATTGTTTCGATGTATCTCTTAAGATTTGGCCAGCATTAACCATGTAAAATAAGAAATCAGTTTTTTTGACAAAATACAAACAGTTCAGCCACTTTGTACAAATTATATACACAATTCCTCCTTTATCTCTCTTTCTATTAGATAAAACCATATCAAAATCCTTTGGGTGGTTTAGAAGAAGTAAGAGTAGAAACACACAGAGGCAGAGAAAGAATTTGTTTTATAATATTTAGATTTAGAGATAAGTGTTATATGGATAAGTATAGACCTTCCTCAATAATGATCTTGTAATTTACTCAAAATGACAGTTGGACAGTTAGACATGTTTAAAATACTTTTCTTTGAACCATTAGGAACATGTTGACATTTTAGCATCTCGATGGGTAATTTTTTTACTGATTTTCCATTTGCCTCATTTACAATTCTCCAACATTCTTTTGCTGATTTTTTTTTGCATTAATTACCCCTTTATTATTATAGGAAAGTTTTGCTGATTTGACTTTATTATCATAAATCATTTTGAGTTTTTTATATCTATCCCTAATAGTATCATTATTACTCGTTATGTATACTATGTAATTCACATAGTATCTCATGCAGTGCACTTAGTTCCGTGTTATAAAAATTATTTTTGTATCGTTTAGGTTTAACTTTTTTAAATGTAAAAGCGTCGTTGAAATGATACAAAAAAGTCGAATAAAAGCTGTTAAATTTGTTATTCAACTCAGATAAGTTATACATGTTTTCCCATGACTCGTTAATAATTATATTTTTAAAGATAAGTTTGTAACAATGTTGTACAGGCCAAATTCCCTAAAAATATTCATAAGTAATTTTGTTTTATTACTATTAATAAGTAAGTCTACATTCATATCACTGCATACAGCATAATATCTAGAGGGATTATAGTAAAAACACAAAAGGTCATATAACCTATCAGTAAACAATTTGAAATCTGATTTGGGTGGGTCTATACAGAGATAAGACAAAAATGTCCTTATCTTTAAAGATACATTTACAAACATTTATTTCAATAACTTTCTCAATAGAAAAATTGCAGTACCTATACAGGTTCTATTAACATACTACTTTTTGCATAAATAGACTCCACTCCTTTGGTATTGTGTCCTACAATACTTAGTTATCAAAGAATAATCACAAATGTCTAACATATCAATTTCATTAGCGTTTAGCCAATGTTCTGAAAAACAACATATATCTACTTTATTCTTTTTTAAAATTTGTTCTAGCTCACTAATTTTTTTCTGTATACCTTGTATATTGAAATGCATTAGTATGAAGTTTTTTGACAGATGTTCTTCATTAATTCTGATTTCTTCAGTCTTGGTGCTTTTGTTGTCATATTCTCCTGTTTGGATTATGTTGTGACAGGCATTTGATTGGCATCCAGAAAATTTTGGTAGGTTTGCTTCCTGGTTGTTCTTATATCTGTTTTCTTCTTTTCTAAAGTCATAATGGTAGACTGCTACCCCACGTGCCCAGAAACTTCCAGTGTACGCCTGGTCCATAAGATCATATTGTATGTTGATCTCAAAACATTTGTTTTTAGCAGTTTTTTTGTATGTTGATAATTCCTTCACAGATAACAGATCTTTTCTGTTACACTTTTTTTCTAGAGAATAGGCACATGTTATCACATACTCTTCTGTAGACCTTTTTAAGACCTACAATTTCTAGTACATTGTTTTGATGTATCTCTTAAGATTTGGCCAGCATTAGCCATGTAATAAGAAATCAGTTTTTTTGACAAAATACAAACTTAGTTCAGCTACTTTGTACAAAATATTTACAAATTATATACACAAACCTCCCTCCTTTATCTCTCTTTCTATTAGATAAAACCATATCAAAATCCTTTGGGTGGTTTAGAAGATGTAAGAGAAGAAACACACAGAGGCAGACAAATACTTTGTTCTATAATATTTAGATTTAGAGATGGATAAGTATAGTCCTTCCTCAATAATGATCATGTAATTTACTGAAAATGACAGTTGGACAGTTAGACATGCCTATATTTTGCAAAAATATGATTGACCTGTTTTATTAATATGCAAAGTATCCTTTTTTAAACACCCCTAAAACGAATATTCCCCTAAAATAGGCAACTTTTATTCAATTTAGTCAGTAGATTTGTAGTTTGAGCAGGTACTAAAACATATGTCTGTACTTATTGCTACTCCCACTTGTTCTGACAGGCAAAGAAGACGAAACAACTTCTCGTAGGGTTGTGGCTTTGTTGGCACCAGAAAATATCAACCCATACCTGGCTAAGCCAACTGACCAGCACAGCTCACATTGAAATGAAAAGTCTCACATAACACATTAGTGTAGACATAATGCATCCACCCTAACTACAAGTTTACTAATTAATCTGATATGTTTGTGAGATCCACATTTTTGGTATACTTTTATGTAGTTACCAATCAAGCACAACCATTCACTTCTCTGTACCACAAGAGTTTAGAGTTATTATTCATTTCCTAGCTTTACACATAACAGTAAAAGGTGAGAGGACAAGAAAATTAATTTCCTATATCCCTGCTATTTGAATAGTCAAAACGTTTACATAAGTATGTTAGGAAACTAAAAATAGATGAGGTTAAGATATTTATCAAAAACATTATTTATGGAATTTAAAGTAAGTATATATTTTTAAGTTTTGTCACTAAAATTAATGATTAAATTATAAGTAATTTGAGGCGCTGTTCTCCACATCTCAGCAAATGGGCTAAAATAATAATTTATAATACTCTAATATTACCTCATTTTAATTATTGTGCCACTATATTGTATTTGCTCAACCAAAATGAGTTGCAACGATTGTAAAAGTTGCAGAATAGAGGTATGAGGATAATATTGAGCTGTTCAAGATTGAAACCAATCATTTCTATGTTAAATGTGCTTCAGTGATTGTCTGTTAAATAATATTTGCTATTCTATTCCCTGCTATTTATATTTAAGATTAAATCAGCAATCTCCCCAGTACATTTACAAAATATTTTAAGTTATAAGGCCACGAAAAATGAACAGAAAATTCAGCGTTTTTTAAAGGTGTACAGGCTTTTAATAATTTGCCTGATTAATTTTTTTTTCTTGTTCTTTTATTATGTTTTGTATAGTTGGCAATATGTAAGTGTACTGTATCTTATGTATTTTTTATTGTATTTTGAATGTATGTTGATTCTATACTTATGTATTTTTTATATTTTAAATGTGAAGATGTATTGACATGTAAAAAATAGTTTTTTTTTTTTGACTAAATAAACGATTTATATATAAATAACTGAAAACATACCCTCCTCTCCACTAGTATTAACTTGTATCATAATCCTTAATTTTGAATCCGATATTTTAAATTTTGCCCAATTTTTGTCAAGCGTGGCTGCCAATTTTTGAGAATCAACTGTTTCAATGATATAAATATTTGGAAGACACAAAATTTTGTTAACTTTGTTCGATTGAAGGTGTCCAATGAAATGCCATCTTATATCTTTACATTTTTCCAAAATAATTGGATTATTCGCTTTTTCTTCTAGTTCTTGTACATAGTTTTCTCCAAAGTGCCTTTGGCCTTCCTCATAGGCTGCAACTATTAGGTTTACTGGTTTGGTTTTGCTTACTGCTACTAAAGTAGGTTGGATTGCTTGTAACTCCTATCAAAATTAACAAAAATAATTATATAATTAATAAATAATATACCAATTTATTTACATGAACATGCAGATTTACAAGGTCAATACTGACCTGTATTTGTATAAACTAAATATGATATCATCCGCAATAATAGTTTACCTTTAATTATGATTAAACAATTCAAATTTTATATTTTATAGGTAGGAATAAAATAAAAACTTACCGGATTTCTTTCACTACATGCAACTTCTATTTTGTTTAATACGATCTTCAAACCTTGTTTAATATCTACTTCCGTCATCCTTTTTAATGTTGGCAGTATAGTTGTAGTAAAACTCATCTAAGATTTTGTCCCGAATTATTGTAATTTTTTTTATAATTGTAATTATAAAACACTTTTATATTGTTAACATTATAGGTTATGTCAATGTTTACATTATTTATATTTTTGAAAAGAAAAATTAGTGTCTAGGGTGTACGTGTCACAACTAATCTGTTAGGAAGGGTAGAGTGGGGCAATCAATGATATTAATTTTGGGATTTGAAATATGTAATAAAATAAAGGTAAATTTAAAATTGAGCACGGTTGAACTGACTGAGTACCTACATGCGCTAGGCATTTCGGTTACATTCTACATAGAAGACACACGAATTTTAAAATATTTTTTGTACTATTAGAAAGTAGAGAAGTTATATATCATGAAAATTAAAAAAAAAATGGAGATTATCCACGATTAAGCGAGAAATTTAATGTTAAAATCTCAAAATTGCACATTTTTAATCAAATCTTTTGACACAGGGTTGCCAAGTAAGTATTTTAATATGTAAGAAGAACTAACTTGTAAACTCGTAAATTATTATACTTTTATGATTTGTTTATTTAAATAAAAATAATAGAATTTTGTGATAAAATGCCAGAATCTGTATCAAACATTGCTCCCCAACCCCTAACACAGATCAAAGAATATTATCTGTTCATATCAGCTTATACAATTGTTTATAAAATTAAACAGTAATCCTTTGTAAGTTTTTTAACTTATTGACATTTCACATGACATTTTTAAGTAATATCTAGAAATACAATGTTACAAAATCATTTTTTTTTTGACTCATTCAACATAACCGTTCACTCTAAATTCTCCGCTACCTAGTCATACAGGGCGACTTATACGGCCTGGAATCATTGCAGAAATAGTATAATCGGTATCAAACATCGATCCCCAACCTTTAACATAGATCAAAGAATAAAATATGATCATATCAGCTTAAACAATATATATTACAAATGGGAATTTTTAAAAAAATTGGATTAATTAGAACAAATTAAACATAAACAAAGAACCATTAATATTTTTGTGATATGTGCAAAGTTAAATTTTTTAATCTATCTTTGGCACTTTTCCATATCTTTCCTTCCACATAAAAGTGTCGATGTATTCCGGCAAAAATTTAGAATTCATAACACCAAGTTGTCTAATATAACGTTTTAATCATGACCAATAACCCTCCACATGGTTCGTACAGACACCTGTCTCGAGATCTCGAAAATATTTTGAATGGTTAACTGTTTTATGGCTACGACCAATATTTTTCAATTGATTATATCCACTCCACTGGTCAGTTCAAATTTCAGATTATAGACGAACAATGTGGCGAATTATTGGTATTAAAATTTCCTGTTTTTTACATATGCCCGGCCGACGTTTCGAAATTTACGCGCGCGAATTTCGAAACATCGGCTGGGCGCGCGTTTTTTCCACTCACATTATAAGACAACGCTAAGCCCCTTCCACCCACGTTCTATCCACCTCCCATCCACCGCGCGCGCGAATTTCGAATCGAAAGTTGAGCCAATTAATAAATTCATAAAAATAACCTAAAATGAACTGATAATTTTCATTAATCAGTTTCCAGCTTATAACATCCCGAATGTATCTATATTGCTGCACCACTCTTTCTCTAGTTTCTCCAATATTTCTGCTGTAGAAACTACCCTTATTTGGCATGCCCAGCACCAAAATAATAAAATTGTATCTCTCACCGAAATTTTCATCTTCTCAAAAAATGAATTTTTAAATAATGAATAGTCAGTTCTACATTTTGAGCAATATAAAACTGTATTCAAATTGTTTGCTCCTTTTTTTGTCTGCTCTTACAAGATCTTCTCTTGCAATGAAAATTTGACTTTATTAAATTAATGTCTTGTATTTCACCAAATCAGCATCATTCTTGTTAATAATTTGATTAATACCATTAATACTATTCACTGCCATAATTTTGATCATTAAAAAACACAATTAATGATTCAAAACAAAATTGTGAATGACATTCACAATTAATATTCTGAGAAAAATGTTCTAGAATAAAATAAATGAACATCTAAATCTAAACTGTTAATTCACAGACAACTTAGTTTTTTAAATATTGCGGGTAACGGTAGAAATAGTAACAAGTAATAAATTAATCTTGGCAACCCCGCTAATTATCCAGAAAATAAATGTCAAATAATAAAATTTTCAAGCTTTGGGTTAAATTTAAAGAAAGACTCGTTTTCTTATTTTTAAAAAGTATTTAATTAAAATATATAATTGATTTATACTTTTTTTCGTATTTCTAAACTCTCGCGTGAAACATTTTAATTACAATTAGTTTTCTGCGAATTGACTAACTCATCAGTTAATTGGTAATTTACAAACATGGAAGGCGGAACATTGTTCACTGAACAATGGACGCGTTTATATTATAGGCATTCCAACGACCTCTTAAAATGATGTCGGTGGGAACTGACAGTTTAGTGGAATGGTCCGTTATTAACCGACTACTAATCGCAATTAACCAGTATCTTGTGACAGCGGTTCCTGAAAACACTAATTTCTTGGTTACATTTGGACCAAGGCCAAGATTTACGTCACTTTTGTGACAGATTGACAATCGACATGATTGTAACCGTAAAAATATAGCGGTTAGTGAATTGACGTTTGAGTCACCATTTTCAGGTAATCGCGTCCCTAATTTAACCGATTTTTCAGCAACGTCAAGCAGAGCAGTTAGTTTTGTACTGAGTTGTCATTGACATTGTCAATGATACATTTATAGTAATATAGATTGCAGAGTGCGGGTAGTTTCCGAGTGGCTATATTCGTGGCAAGTGTTCATTAATTTGAATCGGTTTAGCAAAAATGTGTTTTAAAACTAATTTCCAGCCTTTGAATATTAAAAAAAAATAATGGCATACGTTTTTACTTCACAGCATAAGCTTATGTTTATTTTTAAAAACATAGATGATCAATTTATTATAACTATCATTGACCTTATCAAACCACCAGGCCCACAGCGTGCCATATCATTTCAAACGGATAGCCATTTTGTTTAGAATGCCTAATTGTGACCCAGACAGCACACCAAATCCTTTGGATATCTACTGAACATCCCAATATCCACTGAATGTCCAGTCCATGGTGGATATCTATTTTATATCCATAAAATGTAATTTATAGACATGCAAATGTCCATAAATAATAGTAATTATATAGCAAATTATTAAAAAATTACGCCATTGTGCTCGCCATTGTGGCTAATAGTACCGTTCAGATATTTAAAATTAATTTTTTTAAGGTGTATTCAATATCCCATGGACATCCACATATATCAAAGTCTTAGCGCGGACGCAAACCATCGTGGATAACTACTAGATGTAATTTTTGATTTTGCTTCCTAAGTATAGATGGCGATACCACTTTCGTATCTACTCATGCTCAACCCGCCATAATTGAGTTGATCGAACATTTTTTTGTATTAAGACTCTATTAGAGATTGGAGTCGAGAATTTCCATTTATTGCTGAAGAGTCCTAATAAGGATGACTTTTTCCTTAGTGGGCAAACTCAAAGACAGATTGTTGGAAATATTTTTTATCTCTATTTTCTTTCGACGTTATCATTCATTTGGTTACTTATGAATGTCTACTAAAGATACCTATAAAATATTTTGCTGAATATCTGAATTCTATATCCTGGGATATAGACGGACATTTGGTTGGATATCCATATTTGGATATTGGATATCCACAAAATATATTCTGTGGATATCTCTGGGATTTCTTGTATTGTCTGGAAGATACTAATTAGATATTTTGCTGAATATCCATAGGATATCTTCTATATTCTGGATATAGACGGACATTTGGATATCCATATTAGATCCACGGAATATTTCTGATATCCTGTGGATATATTGGATATCCACAAAAGATATTCTGTGGATATCTTTGGGATTTGGTGTGTTGTCTGGGGAGGTGTGTAGGTAGGTATTTAAAAAAGTAAAAGTTTATAATATTGGGTTTTTAATTTTAGGTTTTAGACCATGCTCGACTTTTTATAAAGAATAACTTTTTTCCCAATATTAATAATAAAAAAGATTTTCATATGCCGACGATTTACGTAGAGTGTTGATGGCATAGGAAAGCTTTTTTATTACTAATTTTAGGAAAAAAAGTTGTTCTTTATAAAAAGTCGAGCATGGTCTAAAACCCAAAATACAACCATCAAATATCAAATTTTATCAGTCGTATAAAGAATAAAGGTACTTTACTCTTGAGTAAAACTCATATTTTTTGACAAACCTCGTATACCACTGAAAAAATTTGATATTTGATGACTGTATTCTAGATTTTAGATAATGCAGAACTCTTTATGAATAATAACTTTTTTTCCTAAACTTAGTGGGGAAATACTGTATATACAGCCAGTTTAATTATTTTGCAATTGCCCCACTTTCCCCTTTCACTCTTAGGTCATGATGATCAATTGTTACAATTTCTTTAGAATATTCAATAAATGTTTTTTATGCTGCCATCTGGGTTATGTTACCGTAGTTACTTACAGAACTAACAAGGAATTCACTATGGAGGGTAACGTAACTATATGATAACAATTACACAGCATAGGTGGCGATAGTAAACCAACATTATAAATGAAAAATATTGAATTAGTAGGATAAAATTTTATTAAATTTTTAATAAGTTACAGCTTCTTTAAAAATAATTGTATCTGTTTGGATTGATTGTTGAAACCGGCTCTGTATGCTAGTCTTAATATTCAGATACCGACACTGACTATGTATGTAAAATTAAGGATGTTATTGTCAAAGTATCTTGTCACTGAAATTGTCAAAGTATCTTGTCACTGAATATATTTCAAAAAACTGTCTATTGTAATTTTTTGGTAAAAAAAAAAAATTAAGATTTCCTTGCGAACCAGCATTTTATAAAGGGAGGCTTCAGCCCGTCATAATGGTCCTTCGGCTTGGATATTGATTTTGGTGGCAGTAGGAAGAGAAACTTAATTTTTGGGTTTACACCAGACAGGAGATTTTCAGTTGGGACGGTGACAAGAGGATCAGAATTGCAAAGCGGGTCCTAAAACACGCACCAGGAAAAAATTTATCCTTAATCCAATTTTGGTAGTTCTATATCCAATATTGCCTACTGG